TATTCTGGATACTAGATCTTTGTCAGGTGTGTAGTAGGCAAATATAATTTTCCCATTCTGTAGGTGGTCTGTTTACTCTGTTGACAGTTTCTTTTGTTGTACAGAGGCTCTTTAGTTTAATTAGACCCCAGAGGTCAATTTTTGTTTTTTGTTGGAATTGCTTTTGAGGACTTAGTAACAAATTCTAAAATTGCCTCACCCAGTCAAATATTTGTGTTTGTGTGTTTTTGTTTTTTTTTTTTTTTTTTTTTTTGAGACTGAGTCGGCTTGGCTCGCCCAGGCTGGAGTGCAGTGGCCGGATCTCAAGCTCACTGCAAGGGCTCGCCCTCCGGCGGTTCCGCATTCTCCATGGCCTCAGGGCCTCCCAGAGTGAAAGCTTGGGACCACAGGCCCGGCCACTTCGGCCCCGGCTAGTTTTTTGTATTATTTTAGTAGGAGACGGGGGTTTCACCGGTTACCCAGGATGTCCTCGGATTTCTCCTGACCTCGTGATTCCGGCCCGTCTCGGCCTCCCAAAGTGCTGGGATTACGAGGCTTGAGCCACCCCGCCCCGGCTGTTTCTTTTTTTGAGATGAGTCTTGCTCTGTCACCCAGGCTGGGCAGTGGCCATGATCTCGCTTCACCTGCACAGGCTCTTGCTCTCCTGGGTTCACACATTCTCCTGCCTCAGCCCTGCCCAGTAGCTGGAACTACAGGCCACCCGCCACCACTGGCCCAACTAAATTTTTTTTTTTTTTTTTTTAGTAGAGACAGGATTTCACTGTGTTAGCCAGGATGGTCTCCATATCCTGACCTCATGATCTGCCCACCTCGGCCTCCTTCTTTGTGTGTTTCTATTCAGTTCTTGCTGATTTTTTATGAACTACAGATAACAACAAAGTTAGCATAAAAACTCATAATTAAAAAATACAATATGTATATTGACTACAAACTGGCAATGAATGCAAAGAATAGATATGTCATTGCACAAAAATCCTTGAAATCCCCTGAAATATTAACCTCATCCATCAAGAAAATTTGAACCAGTTTTTTCACAATAATATAATGTTAAATAATTATTTACTAATTTTCAATCATGAATTGTGAAGCTGAATGGAACTTTTTCAAATTGTCAGAAAAGATCTAGCTAGAGGAAAAAAAATTAATTAACTTCCTAATCATTCTGTAGAAAATAATTTTAAAACACCATATGAAGATATCAAAAGTATGCATATAAAATGTTAACAATATTATAGAAGTGTGGTATTGCAAGTTATAAAAACAAATTATGTTGTTTTTCTGAGTTTTGTAAAGTATTTGTCAGTGTTTCATTATTGTCAGCAGTTAAGCATTGTAACTTAATATAATGTTCTTTCTAAATTTAAATAAGAATTATTTTTATGTCTAAATTTTTGCTATTTTGCTATTCTTTACTTAAAGAGCCCCCCCAAACTATATGAGTTATATTCCTCACCAAACATGGGTCTACCCTGGCAGAAAACATGCATTTTTCCCTAAAACTTAGAGTCCCAGCTTTTAGAATAAGGAAATAATCAACAAATCCTTGGAAGAATCATAAGATGTTCTCTAAGAATTTCTTTTCAACTTGATTTGCTGTTTCTCTTAGAGTCCTGTTAATAGAATAGGATTCTATAATTAATAGAAACATTAACCCTTACTTCTTTGAGGTCATTAAGAATTGTTCCAGGGAGAAGCTCTCCTGGTGAGAATTAAAGAATTCACTTTTAACAAGTACCCCCGATTTTAAGAGTCTCCCTGAGGGCCAGAGTGGGTGAGTACATTTTACCTTTCCCAGAAATGGTTGGGAAGCGCATGCGGGCTGCTATACTCTGGAGGTGGGGGGTAGAGGTGGTAGGGTAGGTAGAGGGTGGGAGTTTTCTCTGTCGGCCCTGGATTCTCCTACTGCCTTTGAATTCCTGCAATAATTCTGCCCATGCAGTTGAGGGTGGAGAGACATAGTGGAGTTTGGAATAAAGGAAAGTGTTGAGTCTAAGATATAGCAATGTTTGCCTCTCTGTAGCATCTTAATATGCAAAAAGAAGACTGAGCTAGGTAACTTCAGTGACCGGAGACCAGTCAGGAAGTCGGTAATTTTACTGAAGATGTTCACCATACCCAGCTCATTATTAGGCACTTTGGTTACTACAAAGTAAGGTGTTAAACAGAGCTTTTTTTCTCTCTCTCTGGTGGAGATCTCAGTCTAGTTGGGGAGACAAGGCCAACTTGGGAGGGTTGGATTCACAGAATGACTCATCTTCAATATGGGCTGAACTCCCTTGTCCAGGCATTCACCGAGAAACACATTGATACCATCCTTCTCCTCCGCCAAGTCCAGTATCAGTGCCTCCAGGAAAACAACTCTGAAATCACACACCCACTGTTCCAAAACCCAAACCCTGATTACAGTGCCCCTATTCATCAGGAAGCAGCCGGATAACCAACAACACCCCTCTTCCCTTTACACTAAAGTAGAAGGCAAGACTATTAGCCCAAATTGCACCATTTTGTAAGCCCCTGCAATTTTGCAGACTGTGGTTCAAAGTAAAACATTCCATGGAGGTTCCCGCCATCAGAAACATCCTGCCTAACCACCTAACTATGAGGCAGACAAAGGCCCAACTAAAGAAACATTCTTATACCCTCCTGGGCAAAGGCTCAACTAAAAAACATTCTGCTGGGAGAAAGTGCAAGGAACATCACATTCCACTGGAACAAGGGCGAGAACCATTTCGTCATGGGAAAATCTGATCAATACCATGATGGGCAGCAAGCCATACGGCCCAGATCCTTTCCGTCCATACCTACAAGTACCCACCAGCCTGTAAGTGGTGATGGGATCTGGCATTAAGTTGGTCCCCCACTTCTACAGGTTTCTGCAATATGCCTGCATTTGCTGTTGAGTCACAAAAACAAAAACAGAAACACGCACCTCTGTGTATTCATAGGCCACACTTTAAGACCCTCTGAGGTAAGACCCCATGTATACAGAGACATCTTCTCTTGCTTGTCTGATCTTATTGGCCAAGGCACAGTTCAGATGTCCTCTGTGTAGCACCCTTCTGGGGTTCTGGCTCCCAACAGTACAGCAGGTCACAGAGTGCCTCCCTGTAGTTGTAGTGCTATCCCCCCACCACTATTGCTGTCTCTCCCCAGAGTCTGGCTTGTATCTTTTGCCCTATAAAACATAGATCATAGATTTCTTGTCTCGGGTTGATGGTCTTGATATATTATACATGTATATTCTGTTCCAATATTGAACACTTCAATATTGGGAGATACATCAGGGAAAATTATGCTACTTATTTGTAAGAACAAAAACAACAAAAAGAAAAGCAAACTGAAATACGTTTTTGTTTTCTTTTTCCCTTTATTCCTTGCAAATAAGGTTTATATTCCTAGCATGAAAATCAAGGTTCTTTCTTATCTGGCTTCAGCTACCTGTTCTGCTGGACTTTAATTTATGATGAGATAATACTGAAGACAGTACAGCCATCATGCCACCACCGTAATAGTGTTTGAAACTGCAGGGCCAAAGAAATGTCTTCGCATACATGTTAAGAACTACTGTCTGGTCTGATCATTCTCTGAATTACAGGTACTAAAGACTATGTACTTTTAGTTGTTGCTGTTCTTCAGCATATATGGTTACAAAGTGCCTAACTGTAAACACATATTCTCTCCTAAATATGTATCATAGTTTTCTTAAGGTGAAGGGTAAGTACCCTTGATCTTTGCGCTAACCACAGAGATTGGAAAAGAGGACTGTACACAGGAGATAGTCACTGAGTGCCTTTTGGATTGAATCTATGGTCATATAGTCACAGTCCAGGCTTAATCTGTCCAGATTTAGAAAAAATAATTTCTACAATTTCTATGCCTAATGCAATGCCTTATCTATGGTAGAAGAAATTGGAAAAGAGTGAATGAGTACCAATAACTCATTGAGGAAGGTTAGCACTATCTTCAGCTTTTCAATTCAGTTATTTTTCAACAAATACAACAGTAATAGTAATAAATAAGTAGTAATAAATCCATAGAGTATTTTCTTTGAGTCAGGGACTGTCTTTTAAGAATGTTATCTTAAAGTGGTAGATTATCTTGTTTCTATTTTGCAGGTGAAACCAATATTTAAAGAAGGTAAACATATCGCTCCAAGTCATACAATGAATAAGATGCAGAGGCAGCATTTGAACCTAATCTTGACTGATTTTAGAACTAGTATGCTTCATAATTGTGTCATATCTTGTTTTTCATCTAATTAAGAAAAAGCAATGTATTATCTGATTTAGATATATACTCTTCTTTCTCCTCTCAAAAAATGCCCATCTTTGACTTTGTGTGCCCCAGATATTGTCCTCATCATACTCTCTGAGAGCTAGTTAAGACTTCTTTGAAGTTAATTTTTATTTTCTCTTTCTGTCCATCACTGGCCTTCTGCCACCAGTGGAGTTACATCTCCCTCAGAATTTCCAATCATAACTAACACAGGCTAGCACGCAGGGCTCTGGGCTCTGCAGGCCCACAAACTAACCTTGGCGTAATGAATGACCTGCAGTTTTGGAATGCCTCTGGAATGCCAAGTGACCACAGCTCCCTGTCTGTGGAATGTAGAATGGCCCCAGCATTAGCCAGGTGACCCAAAGCTGCATGCCATTGGCATGAAAAATAGATTCCAGCTCCTAGAATACTAAGTGTCTGCTCAAGAACAAGACAACGAAATATTAATGGATAAGCCTTCCTGCTGAGGAAGGTGGTGGTGATTGACATTGTTACTATGAGATAACTCTGTTAATGCTAATAACACCTGAGTCTGAGCCAGGGCAACTTCTTTGAACTGCCCACTGAAAAATATCCAACCCTCCCCTAAATCACAGAATCAGATCTCTTCCTGTAGGTAGAAATGCACTCCCCTCATTTCATGCTTTCTATGCTTTGCAGAAAGAAGAAACAGAAAATTTGTTCCCAAAATTCATTTTCCCAATGCATTAATTTGGACTTACAAAGCTGTGTAATCTCTTTAGACAGTGTCCGCAGCTACAAAGTCCTATTCCGAGAATGCAATTCCCCAGTGAGGGAGCCTGAACCCATCGTGGAATTTGACTGTAAAGGAAAAAAGGTGTGAGGATATTTGCATCAATCATACTTAGTAACTGGGATTGTAATGATTCTCATTCCCCCTTTTTTCTTCATCTTTTTTGTTTCTTTACAGTGTCGGTCCTCTGTGAATATGTGTTTCTTCCTCCCTCTTTTTCATTGCAATTCAACGCATTGGTTTTAAAAGGAGGATTTGCAAACTGAGTATTAAAACTCCAGGGCACGACATCTCCAAAATCTATAAGACAATAAGAAGATAAGAGGCCAAACTCACTGAAAGCTTTGCTCCTGGTATTTGTGGAACTTGCAGGGTTGTTTATAATACTCCTAAGCCAAGGCAATCTGCCCACTTCCCCCCAATTCTGCCTGCCTAACGCAGGCAGAGAAACTTAGCATTAAAATTCCCCACACTTTGGCAAATGAGTACCCAGGAGGCTGCTGACTCAATCAGGGCTTGTTGTACTTACAGTGTAGTACTGAGAAAGGCCATAAACTCCAGCCTGACAGATCCATAATGCTCATTTCAATATGCTTTCCCTGTGTGCCGGCTTGCTGATGATCTTTCATATTCCGCCAACAAAATATAACAAACATAATAACGACATGTGGTAAATCATCATTGGATATACTGGGTCCTGATGATGGAACTGGTTGTGAGTAAATGAGATTGTCTGGCTGCCTCATACCACTTTGGGGGTCCAGGATGATGCATTGTCTTCAGTGGGAGGAGGACAGTGCATGATGGAGGAGGGAGCAATCAGCTATAGAGGGACACTGATGTCTTCCCAGAGTAGGTGGGGTGTTGGAAACCTAGAACAACAGAATTTCAGAGCCAGAAGAGACTACAGATATCATTTAGTTAAACTCATTAATCTGGCGTGTATTATGATCAAGGCCCAGAGAGGGGATATGAGAATCCCAAAGCTGCGTAGCAAGTATGTGATTCCTGTATTACACACAGCTCAGTGCTCTTCTGGTTGGTGGATTTGATTTGTACTTGAAGCTGTCTTAATAGATTAGTTAGAGACTATGAAAGAACTGTCCCTATAACTCAAGTCAGCCCTGTATCCCTGCATTCATCAATAGGAAAATGCATTGATGGGACTGGCTTTTTTCTTCTAGCTATAGTACTTGGCTTTTCTATTGAGTGAATTAAGGGACACTAGGGGATAATTTATGTGAGTATGTGGTAGTTATTCTCTATTGCACTCCTCAAAACATAAGTATAGTTTTCTTAAAGTTGTAGTAGATTACTAATGACCCATTGTCAATATAAAATATATATTTTCTTTATTTTACAGAGTAATTATGGTCAATAAGACTAAACCTGTGCAGACTCTGATTCATTCAAATATGAATCAGCTCTAAAGGTGTTGGGTATATATCAGGACTTCTGTCAGTTGTCTTCCTTCCTCCTTCCGCCTCTTTTCTTCCTTCCCACTCCCTTCCTCTTTCCTTCGTTCCTTTCCCCCTCCCTTTCTCCCTCTTTCCTCCTTCTGCCCTTCCTTCTTTCTCTCTCTTTCCCTCCCATCCATCCATCCTCCCTCCCTCCCTCTTTCTCTCCCCATCCCTCTTTTCCTTCCTTCCTTCCTTCCTTCCTTCCTTCGTTCCTTCCTTTGACAAATGTCTGCTTACTATTAGGCACTCTGCAAGTCCCAGAATTACACCAAAACTAATCTGTTGTGCATATAGTCAGTTAACTGTAACATAGTGTGAAATACAAAATGATAGGAAAGTAACAATTATTATAGGAGCCCTGGAGATGAGAATCTAGTATAACCTGGATGGAGAAGAGATCAGAGTCAGCTTCCTGAAGGTAATGACTTCTAAGCTGGAATCTGAAGCACTGGCAAGGGCAAACCAGATTGAGGAGGTTATATGTGTCCTCATATGAAAGAGAGAGAAAGTGAGAAGCAGTGGAAAGGGCAAACTAGATTGAGGAGGTTATATGTGTCCTCATATGAGAGAGAGAGAGAGAGAGAAAGGAGGGAGGGACAGAGAGAGAGATACAAAAAGAAACTATAAGGGTTCCAAGATTAAGAAATTAAAGAGAAATAATACCAGATTAATAGAGGTTATATGTGCCCCAGAATTCAGTGTGTTAGACATTTAATCCCCAAATATTGTATGTTGATTGGATGTGGGATATTTGAGAGATAATTCAGATTACATGAGGTTATCAGAGTGGGGTCCCCATGATGAGACTGGTAGCTTCATATGAAGGGAAAGAGAACTCTGAGCTGCCTTTGCTTTTGCCCTCTCCCCATTTGATGCATCTACTATGTTTTGAAGCAGCAAGAGGACCCTCCCAAGAAGTAAAGCAGATGCCTGCACCATGCTCTTGGACTTTCTAGCTTCCAGAACTGTAAGAAATATATTCATTTTCTTTATAAATTACCTGGTCTGTGGCATTCTGTTATAGCAGCAGAAGATAAACTAAGACAGAAAATTGGTACCAGGAGTGGGGTTGTTGCAAATAATAAATACCTTAAAATGTGGAAGCTTAGGAACTGAGTAATGGGCAGAGGTTGAAAGGATATGGAGAAGTCTAGAAAAAGTCTGCGTTGCCATTAACAGAGCATTAAGTGTGATTCTGGTGAGTGCTCAGAAGGAGGCAAGAGAATTACAGAGAGTATGGAATTTCCTACAGTTTATTTTAGTGGTCATAATCAGAATGCTGCTAAAAATACGGTCAGTGAAAGCCATTCTAACCTCTCAGATGTAACTGAGAAACAAGGTATTGGAAACTAGAGTAAAAGCCATCTTTGTTTTGAACTGGCAGAAAACGTGGCTGAACTGTGTTCATTATCAAGGGCTTTATGAAAGACAGAATTTAACTTTGACAAGCTGGAATATCTGGCAGAAGAAATATGTAAGCAGCAAAGCATTGAGACTGCTGCATGGCTACTTTTAACTACTTATAGTAAAACAAGAGAAGAAAGAGATGATTTAAAGATGGAATTTATAATTAAAAGGGAAGCAGAGCAGAAAGATTTGGGGGAACTCTTAACCTGGCCATGTAAATTATGAAAAAGCATGTTTAGGAGAGAAAACCAAGGGTGTGAGCCAGTGACTATTTGCTATGATTAGTACTGATTGAAGTAATCATCAAGGCAATAGGAACAAACCATGAAGGCTTTTAAGAGATCTTCAAGGCTTCCCCAGCCATGACAGATCCAGAGCTCTCTCAAAGGACAGAATGGTTTGGGGAAATAGGCCTGGGATGCCCTCTATGAGTTTATTGCCCATGGCTGCCTCAAATCTCCACTCCCTACATTGGTGGGTGCAGTGCTCCTTGGTCCTCCCAGCTGTGGCTCAAGCAACCCCAAATGTAGCTCAACGAGCTGTGCTGGAAGGTGCAAGCAACAGCAAGTCTCGGCATCATCCTTCTGAGTTAAGTCTGCGGGCTCACAGACTGCAAGAGCTATAGGAGCATGGCTTCCTCCACCTATCTTTCAAAAAATGTTGTGAACAACCTGGGGGCCCTGGCTGATACTTGATACAGGGCTGAAGCTACTACAGAGAGGCCCTACTAGGACAATGGCAAGTGGAAATGTGGAGAAAGAACCATAACCACCACAAAGAGCTCCAACTAGGGCAATGCCTATTGGAATCATGGAAGCAAGGCCACTGCAGAGAATCCTTACTAGAGTGATGTCTAGTGGAACCATGGGGGCAGAGCCACCTCTGAGACTCCAGAACAATGGCACCACTAGTGTGCAGCTCTAGCCTGGAAAAACCACAGACATCTGACTCCAACCCACAAGAACTGAAGTGTTGGCTGAGGCCAAGAAAGCCATGGGAGTGCCACTTTTCTAGGCTTTAGGGACCCAACCCCCACACCAGCGTGCCCAAAATGTAGGACATGGAGTCAAAGGAGATGATTATCCAGCTTTAGGACCAAATGTGGTTTTCCCTATTGGGTTTTGGACTTACTGGGGCCTGTTACTCCTTTCTTCTTACCTATTTCTCTTTTTTGGAATGGGAATATCTATCCTATGCCTGTCCCACCATTGCATTTTGAAAATAGAAAACTTGTTTAATTTCACAGGTTTATAGCTGGAAGGAATTCACCTCAAGATAAATTGTGCTTCGACTCTCACCCATATCCAATCTAGTGAGAATCCGAACTTTGGAATTCTGTTATTGCTAGAAAATTAAAACTTTGGGGCTTTACGGGTGAAATGATTGTATTTTGCATGTAAAAATGACATGAGTTTTAGGGGTCAGGGGTTGGATGCTACTATTTGAATGTGTTTCCCAAATTTTATGTATTGGAGACTTAACCCCAAATTCACGTGTTGATTGGTTGTTTTTAAGAGGAGGAAGAGAGACCACAGCTGACACTCATACTCTTGCCCTCTCCTTATGTAAGGCCCTCCACCGTGTTATAAAGCAGCATGAAGCCCTCACTAAATGGAAGCAGATGCCAGCATCATGGTCTTAGGCTTCCTATTTCCCAGAACTGTAAGACATATTTCTTTAAACAACAAATTATCCAGTCTGTGATATTCTGTTATAGAAGTAGAATATTGACTAAAACAGTGGAAAAAGGTAGGGATAGGGAAAATTCTAAGAGGGAAGGTCTAGAAATAAAATAGAAATTCAGTGTGGTGAGCACCCACTGCGTGCTGTGAAATAAATGAAGATAAGTAAGACCAGAGCAGTAGAAGGGATAGCTATAAGATGAAGGCATATAATGGGTTTGGAATTTATCCCAAGGGCAAAGAAAACTGAGGACCATTGAAGTGAGTGGCGTGATTGTATTTGTTTTTTGGGGGAAAAATGATCTGGCTAGAAATACAAAGGACACTGATAATCACAAATATTGTATTGATCTCCTTATATTTTTAAACAAAATATATACATAAATAAATTGAAAAGTGGATAATAAAATAGCTTTGAGGATATTTTTAAGAATAAGTATCAAAATCCAAAATGAATTATCTCAGATGATTATCATACAACATAAAGAGAATTGTATATGTACAGTGTAACAGAAAGAGGTAGATTTTGATGGGAATTCAAAGTTGCACATAGTAGTTGCACAGTGTATATTTGGGGTCATTGACATTCATTTTACAACAATTAGGCATTTTACAAATATAGGATTTAGTGCTAGTCCTAGCCTCTTACTTCATAAAGTTTTTATCGGTATGAAAGAAATAATTAAAAAGAACTTCAGAGAAGAAATTGTATGCTATATATACTTTCTGCACTACCAAAATGGCTTAGAAATCTACAGAGACAAACAGTACTTTGTTAATATCTAAATTGTGAGTAATGTAAATCTTTGAAAT